GGTTTTTTAAAATGATCAGCCGAATTTACCGACCAAAGTTGGTCGGTTTTTTTAAGATTAATTTTTATTTAATTGCAAAAACCAACCAAAGTTGGTCGGTTTCTTGAAAAATAAATTTTGCGGGACTCACAAATAGTTTCCCGCATTTTTGAGCCAAAGAAAACTGACCAAAGTTGGTCGGTTTCGTAAAAAAAAATTAAAAATTAAAATATTTTAAAAAACCGACCAAAGTTGGTCGGTTTTTGCCGAATTTCTAGTAGTGATACGTTATGTCATTTCCCGTGCCTCCTCTGCTTTGGAATTAACGTGGCGGCATTTGGTTTTCCCGCTTGGGATGTTTGCATTCTTACAAATAGAGGAGAGAATTCTTCATTTGGGGTTGCTGAGTTTTCTGCATATTATTCAAAAGACTCCAGGTTTTTCTTTCCTCCTTCCTCAGGTTCTTACATTTCCACTCGTTTTTCTTTCGAAGTTCCTTGCCACTGTTACTCCCTCCATTCCAGCTCCTATCGTCTGCATAACCAAAGAAGCATGGCTAGTATACCTTTTACTTCCGATAGAATCGTCGGCACCGTTGCATCGGGAATGGGTGTGACATCCCATGAAGAAGGGACGGCCATTGTAGAAGATGAAAACTTTCCCACCGTGGATGAGATAATTCCACGCTCGGGGAAAGCCAGGATTGATTTCAAGCATTTACCTGACGCCGATCATGAGCTTGTTGTTTCCGTAATGGACGCCACGGCACTTGCTGCGCTTAAGGCCAGGTGGATAAATCCCGATCATGTTGAACTCGTTCCCGCGGATAGAGACGTCGTGCAGGTACATCACCCAGGGTACTGCGTGTTTTATGGGTACCCGTTTGTCATTGGTTACACACTCCCCCTTCATTACCTTTCGGAAGACTTTTTTCGTTATTACGGGGTGTGCCCGGCTCAGCTCTCGCCATATATATACAAACTTTTCCTCATGCTCACCAAGTACGCGGAATTGGCTGGCCGGGGGTTTCTCTTAGCCACTTGCTTCACCTCTTCGTGCTCAGTTTTTACAGGGGTACTATGATACATCTTCGTCACCGTGGGACCAAGGGATTGGTGGTGAAGATGGATGACAAGACCAATCGCCGTTTTGGGGAGAACTTCTTCTTTGTGAGGACGGAGCATGTTGTGTCAAATCCTAGCAGATTTCCTGAGGAGTGGAATTTTGCCCGTAAGTGTCTTTTCGTAGATACATATCGTTTTTAGATAGCGGCTTCTCGTTGTCCCCTTTTGGTGAATTGATTGTTCTTTTTCCTTCTATTTCACAGCCGAAAAGGCACCTCCCCTGCTAGTCGCTGATATTCGTGAGAGGGTGAGTTAAGTTTTGCCTTACACGATGGGGATTCGTGCATGGTCGCCGTTCCACGAGAGATTCGGATGTAGACCTTCAGTTGGGGAGTCATATCGTTTTGCTTTTAGGTGCTTTGTCCTTTGCTGTGTTTTCATTTTTTATTTAATCTTCTTTCTTTGGTAGGTCGACGGGGCACGAGGAGGGTGAGGGCTCTGGTGCCTGCTTTTCGTCAGTCGAGTCTCACGCACCTGCACCGATTGCGGCTGCACGTGAGATCGTTCAGACCGCCACTGCTTTATAGACTACGGCCCCTCCCGTGCTTGGCCGTCGTGAGGATGCTCGTCAGGCTGAGACCCCGCTTCCCGTGGTTCATTTGGTGGACAAGTTATCTCAAGACAACGGCGAAGAGGCTTCGTTAAAGAGGCGAAGAGTAAGCGCCGACGGGGTACCCGAGACCGGGGGCCCTCCGAGGAGTGAGCCCGTGTTGGCAGTGCCTGAGTCCGCTGGTGATGCCAATTTAGGCGAGGAGACTGTATCCCCCTCGGGCGTGGAGGTGGTGCCTGCTTCTGGCATGGAAGAATCTATCATGGTAGAGGGGCAGAACTCGGAGGCCGTTGCCGTTATTCCGCGTGGTCCATCGACTTCGCAACAAGCCTGTGCTTCCTCTTCGGTCAGCGAGAGGGCAAAGGGCGTAGTCGTAGATGACTATGAATCTGGTTCGGATATTGACCCTGAGGACATAAGAATGTTTGAGGATTGATTAACTCGGGTGGAGGCGGGGACAGACGATTCCTCCCGCGTGATCGAGATTGCCCCCGAGTGTGACTTGTTGGAGGACACAGTGAGCCTGGTGCCTTAATTTTCCCTTCTTTGTTCCGCTACTGAGAGCAGGTCCCTTCAGGAGATCCATGATGCCGGCCTATCAGGGGGCGTAACCGGAATGGCTTTGAGGGTTAGTCTATTGCTTTTTTCGTTTTACATCCCCTATTCTTGCTAATTTTTTCTTTCTGTTCTCTTTTCTTTCTTCTGCCTTTATTTTGGAGACAGAGAGTATCCTCCGCGAGGAGAGGCGGGTCGCCGTTTTTTAGAAAGTGGTTTCAAAATATCACCGATTCCGTGACAAGTGTCGCGAGATGCATGCACGACTCAGGGCGGACAGCAATCCTCAGTCCCTTCGGGAGGAGTTGGAACGTAAAGATGAGGACCTGATGCGGTCCATGAGTAGATGCAGCGAACTCGAGGGGCTGTTTATGGCTAAGGAAGAAGAGCTCGAGGTGGGCAAGGGTGTTGCAGCTGAGTGTGTTGACCTTCAGGCGAAGGTAGTGGCCCTGTGGGCGGAGCTTGAGCAGAGTGATGTTAGGGTCGTCGGTTTAAGTGCTGAATTGGCAGAGAAGGTGACCAAATTGGGAGGGAAGGCGACCGAGCTGGAGAGGGTTGAAGGAACCCGAGTAGCGGCCTTAGCGAAGGTCCTGCCTCTATTGACGTTCGTCGCCCTTTGTACGAGATGTGGGTTCAAACTGAGGCTCAGCGGGATATATATAAGGGTTTGTTGGCAGTGAGGAAGGTCTCTGAGGTCGCTTTCAAATAGGCTCGAGCTAAAGCGCGTGAGGCCCGGCTTGCCTGTGGTTATGATCCTTCGACGCCGGAAGCTGGTGAAGTTGATGAGGCCGAGGATGGGCTTGCTTTTGATGAGGAACATTCTGATTGAGAGGGTGTTGGTGGAGGTGAGGCTGATGAACCGAGCGGAGAGTGAGATGACGGTGTGAACGTGGATAATGCTGAATGAAGCTGTTGCATTTGATTTTTTTCCTTCTCTACTTAGTTTTTTTTTTTTTGTACTTGGTTGGGTGCCTCCCCCCCCCCCCCCCAAATTTTTGGTCCTTTGTAAGACACTCTTTCTTTTCTTTAAATAAAGTAGTTGGTTTGTCCTTGATCGTATGCCTTTGGCCTTTCCTTCTTTTTTAAATTTCTTGGATTTTCTCGTAATAAGTCCCTGACTTTTGGTAGTTAACTTGAGCGAGGTCAGATTTGACCTGCTAATTCGATCGAGGTCAGATTTGACCTACTAATTTGAGCGAGGTTGAATTTCATCTCGTTAATTCGAGCGAGGTCGAATATTGTCTTGTTATTTCGAGCGAGGTCAGATTTGACCCGCTAATTCAAGTGAGGTCAAATTTTGTCTAGAAAATTAATTCAAGTGAGAATATGCATATTTCCTTTGCGTCGGCGTGGTTGTGTGCATTTGGCGTCGTGTAGGAATGTCCTACTACTTTGTTTATTCATTGGAGGATATTACACATTTCCATTCGATCCGTGCATACATTCGAGGAGTCCCAGTCTGTCTAGTCCCTTCATTGCTCGGCCTATAGAAGTAGTCGATAGGCAGAGCGATGAATGTCTTGCTCAAGCTCCGGGACGTCTCAACGTGCGGACGAGATCGAATTTCAGTTAATTATACCGTTGCATAGTTGCTTTGGCGAGCGCGTAGGTGAGTTTTACGCACTTGTGTTCTATCTGCATGCTGGAGAGATTCACATTTATCCGGACCGGTGACCCAGTCCGGTCTACACAGGTCTTTCCCTTTATGGCGTTTAAGCACCGACTTGTCGGATAGGGAGGTTTACTCGGCTGTTACCTGCATGATGGTATGGTGCGGAATGTTTTGCTTGTGCGTTGTTTTGATGGCGTTTGTTCCTTGTTCGCACATCTGGGAGAACGTCCCTGTTCTCATCCTCATCCAGAAAGAAAGATAACGAGTTAAACCCAAACGAAATCGTTTGTTACCTTGACCTGATTGGTTGGCGTGGGGAGAGGGACGTTGTAGAACGAACTCTTTGCCCCATACTCGAATGTTGGCTTTAGATTGGATCTCAGCCTCGCATTTAGCTTTGCCGCTAGTTGAGTCTGGACATCTTGGCAACTTCACCCGTCGGGATCTCGAGTTCGAGTCTCGGTCCGGTCCGATCCGATCCATGGTGCACAAGAATGAGGGAAACATAAATTATACTTGGTATATACGGGCACGACAAACTTGTTATTTCAAAGAATTACACAATAGGTTATCGTCCCTTCCCGAGGGAGGGGGTGGTGTGCATAAAGTATAGATTAGTGTCTAACGTAAATATAGCCAGTAGGATTGTGGACGTGCTCCGTGCGTAGTGTCCATAATCCTACTTTGACAACTCATACTCACGATGTACCAAACCCGTCAGTACAGCAAGACGTGACTTTCGTACGGATATCAAACATGATTTCGATTTCATGCAAAGATCCGACCTCGGTCGGTTCGATTATTTCAAAATCTTGCCTACAAATTTCTCAAGTTGGTGTTTGCAATGAGAGGGCGAAGCTACAACAGCCGGGAACTCTGACTGACATTAGATCTCAAGGAAACTAAAATTTAGCTAGAAAAATCCCCACAGACGGCACCAAATTGTTTGACTAAAAAGTATTAGGCCTTATTAGTTAAACCAATTCGATAAAAAGATTTGGGGCAAATTTTGCCAAAGATAATTAATTCTAGATCTGAGATAAATGATAGGAATGAACAAGCACAACTAAACATAAATTTTGATTACAACATCGATTGATTCTCTTGATGTAAGAAACAGGTAGTTGCTTCAATAATATCGAATGACAATGAGGAATAAATAAAAGGAAAAGAATCACCGTATTCAAACAAGATTGCCTTCCATCCATTTGATAAGGAGTACCAATATGCATTTCCACAGAACTGTCTCGGGTAGATTTACATAGCCCAGTAACTACTATAGCTAATTCACGCTAGTGCACCAATATCGTGTAATCAAATTTCCTTAAATCATTGTCCTACATATTGTACATTACACCAGCTCAGATATTTAACTCATAAAGGAGCACAATCCCGCTCCAAAAGAATGAACTCCCTGCTAAATGTAATGAAATCATACAACAAACAGAAGACACTGTCATCGATAGTACCATTGGCAATGATTCTCAGGCCACAATACCTCCGAATTTGTACAGCACACAGAAAAGTACTTCATCACCTTCGAGCATTGCATTCAGTGTTCGTTCTACTAACACGGCATTATCAACCACGACTCTACAGATAACCAAGTCAGCAACATGTACACAAATTTGGTCCCCACGTCCTTCAATAATCAGTTTTTGAGCCTGTTTCCTCCATAATACAAAATCACAGTATCTCTCAGAATATTCAGGAGAATGGAATTTTGAGTGTTTGGACAAGTTGCAACTGTCTTCTTGCCACCTTAATCGAGCACAATCATTCTCTAGTAATAATATCACCATTATTAGCTGCTAAAGTCGATTCCTTGCTGGTTAATGCATGAAGCATTGACTGGGCAGCAATCAACTTTTCCCTGAGCAACATATTGTATTCGTAGAGGTTTTGGAGATCTTTCTGGAGATTGGTCATACTTATATGATCAGCAGCGTGTGATTCTGCGGAACAAAAGCAGCATCATTACTTTAGACAAATACTACACATTCTAAAATCGCTGATGATGCAAGAATCTTATTAACTTGTCAGACCCCAGCAATCTATCTCAGAAGGACAAAGGGATAAAATTTAAAGAGAGATGCTTCTAAGGGACAATAAAAGTATTGATGTCTTATTTTTTTTACAAGGAAAAAGTACGGATGTCTTATAAATTCTTCACTAGTTCATATAGTGGAGTAGACAACATACCGACTCCACAACTAGCACTAAAATAGGAAATTGTCTCCTGTGGCATTTACTACAGCTCTTAAGACATAGGTAAAAGGAAAAAGCCCTACCCACATCAGCAGAGTTGGTTGCTCAACTGGAAAATTATAAAACCAGAAAACTGGTACCACAAAATGACATCTTCCCTTTGACATCAAATTCCCAGGCAAAAGCAACAGAATGCTAGAAAGAATAGCTTACCGACGACAGTTTGTTGATACCCTAAGTTATGATTTTCCAACTAGTTTAGCCGCAAAATCGAAAATAAACACCCGAAGTAACTACCATCAAGCTCCTAGGTTCACTATTTTACTGATCACTACCAGTCCGGTCACAATCAGCAATAGCTAAAATCTTGGATAAAGTTTATACTGCACTTCTATCTGCTAGAGCCTAGAGGTGCTTAGATCCATGAAGGCTTCACTACACATGGAGAAGGAACATGGCATTCCTTGCAGCAATTTTATACATGCGACCACATTTTGAAACCACACTCACAGAAACAGAGATAGAAAACAGATACCCGAGGAAATAATTGTTTAAATATTTAACAGCCAGGAAGTTACGAGTCACCATACATAGTTGAGGTTTATAATCTTCAAATACATTGTCAAAATCAGAGAGAACAAGATCATCGACAGTGGACTCTCACAACCTTGACCCTTAATATCATATACTTGTCACATGACATTAACACAGAAAGGTTGAACAAATTTATAGTGCTCTTGATAAAAGCATGTGCAATTTGAATAAAGCTTAAATAGGTTGAAGCATGATATGTATGAGCAGCTTAAAATCCGACATCATGAAATCCAAACAGCTGACATGTTAGGCGGCACGAGAAAAGAGAACATAATTAACGCTGATCTCATGATTCCAAACTCACCTAATGGAGGCGGAGGTGGAACAGTTAAGTTGTCAGCTGCAGAAAAAGCTGGAGCCTGGATAACAATATCTAAATCTTCAGGTTTACTATCTTTAGTGTTTGGAGGTACAGCATTTTCTTGAAACTGAAGTATCAAGAATAAAAGGTAAGTCTAACAGCTTCCTACAGATAAAGCAAAAGTGAAATTGCCAGTTCTTTGGGAAGATAAAGAAAGCAGACATGAAAGCCAAGTTGAATTAATACTTAGCGTGCAAAAGGGAAGAAGAAACAAATAAATTGAGCATAAGAACAGAAAATGAAGAAAGAACTGTGTACTGTCAAGTAGAGGAAGAACTAACAGCAAAAGCAGGAAAAGATCTTACCATATATGTACGCGCCTTATAAAAAGATCTAAAACCATGATACAACATTTGAGAAATGAAGCAGCTAAATGTTAAATCGGTAATTTCACAAAAATATAACACCATTAAAAGGGCTCTTGTCCATATTCTACTTGAGTCAGCTTCTACAAGTCCAAGACCACTTTCTGAAGAGGGAAAGAAATGCCACCCCAAAGTCGCAAAATTAGACACTCACAGGTATTCGGTAATCAAATCAAAATATTTCTTGAAGGTTCTATAAAGTAAAGCAATTCATTTTTAGTACCTCATATAACAGCAAAAATCGCAAAATCAAAGGAAGTAGCTGTAAGCCAGTAACACCCCTGGTATGGTTAAAATAGAAGAACTTAAACATTTAATGTACACCATTTAGATATTTCTATTGCTAAGTTGGCTTAAGCCCAAATCATGGTATAACAGAGGGAATGATAGCACCAATACATGAAAAGGTTCGTGGGATCAGGTCGAGACAGTTGCCAAAATACAAATGTCATTTAGAAAACCTCAAGATAAAATAATATCAGAGAGAAATAACAACTGACTCTTTCTTCTTTCAGACGTGTACTCTTTCGGCGATCTGCTGCAGATTCAGGCGAAAAACGCGTGGCACCTTGAGTATCAATCTGCTCTGAAATGGCTCTCTGGGAAAGGAAAATAGGACTTCAAAAGTTTATGATCTCCGATGACATTTGTAAAGAAGCAGTAGATATAATCATACTGATATAAAGAAGTTGAGGCAGCAAAGCTGCACCTTCTCACTAGGTAAGCTAACTTTTCGGCTAAAACTGATGGTATCTAATCTGCTAGACCCTCTTCCTCTAACTGAAGAGCTCTTTCTGTTGAGTGATTCCATCTTGACACCTGTGCAACAACCATCATTTCTCATGCCGTACACCTCTTCCAATTGGTTAGGAGCGTATGTGTACATGACATATTTCCTCAGCTATCAGAAGAAGAAAGTGGAAAATTCAAAGCAAAGGATAAGGAAATTAGACAGGGCAGCTGAATTGGCAAAATAAAAAAGATTGTCTTCAGCAAGAAATCAAGTGAATTATTTTGTTTATATTAAAACTCACTTTATCCCAGCAGTCTTGAGCTTTTCGGCGACTTCTAACCTTCCGCATTACACTATCCTCATTGCGTAATTTCTTGATCCTATATTCGCACTGTAAAATAAGAGTATTGACATAAATAGGAAAGTATGGACATAAGGATCAATCACACCCTGCAAACATTTATAAGTTAATTTTTCATAAAAAGAAGTAAAACACTCTAAAGTTACTTTATGAATTTTACAACTTCCAAGTACCTTCAGGGTTCCTTTCTTCCATCACTAAGTTCAGGCCGGCAGATCAATCTTAATTTCAACCCACATTCCAATCTAGAAGTAAATAACTTCTATTCAAATTAGAAAGAAAATGTCTTAATCTTGAATGTTTCGGTTGTTAGGAGTTGAAGTGATACAACAAAATCGGTGTCAGACAAAACACTTTGTCTCATCTTTGTTTTTCCTTTTTTAATTTGAAGCATGAGATTCATATCCAAGATTTAATCAGCAGACATAACTAACTCCAAGAGCCCCATGCAATAACATCAGCACCTAAACTTCAAGAATACAGCAAATTTTCACAGCAAAATCGCTAACGAAGTGCCTTTTTCTTTTTTCTTAGAAAACACATTGTTCTCAACCGCACTTGGGCTACACCGATACTTCATTTGCCTTGACTATTGTGTCGAACGGATGAGACATGAGTATGGTTACTTTGTGCATATTATTCACAATACATTGAAAGTTGACAAAAGACGCATGTTACACGTATACTTGTACTGGATGCGTACACGTAACAAGTCCATGCAATAACTTACAATGAAGTCCAAAATATAGAGGACTAGTAACAAAAAGAATGGAAAGAAAATTCACCTGCACCAAAATGTAGAAGAAGAGGCCAATACTGATGCAATAAAGGCCACCAAGATCCGCAAGGAAGCTTACTGCACTCTTGGGAGAGGAATATATTATCAAAACATCACCACAAAAAAAAAAGCTTCCCAAATGAAATGAACCATTTAAAAGCACTTAACATACACACTAGAATTCTGAAGCAAACCTAAAACTCAGTCTTCTTTTCTTATCACATCAGTGTGAAGCGGCATTATATCCTAGACAACAGATACAAATATGAAAGGGCACATTAAAATAGCAAGTTCAATATTCTTTTTAGTAAGTTTAGCCTGAAAATCGGCAGTGAGATAAGTCTCATCTGATTACGCTATCTTTTTTTCTTCCTTGTTTTTCTGAGATAAGGTAAATGTTCCATCTGATTAACCCATCTTTTCTCCACCTTCACTATTTTGAGGCCACACTAAAAGCTTAAATTCCTCTAGCTTAAAGCACTAAACCTATAACAAAAAATATAGAACTTGAATTCCATAGAAATCTTTGTATTTGGTAGAATTTATTATATGAGTACCAAGCCTTGATGTTCGCTTCGAAGCAGTGCTCGTTGAAAACATGATAAGTTCTGAGCCACTTGTCCTTAGAGTTAGATAGGCAAAAGGAAAAAAACATTCCACTCAAGGTCCTATGCCGTTATGCAGCAATGGCATATGCAAGATTGGTATTGAATACATTTAACAGGTTTTGCAATGTTAATTGCGCTTTTCATGGTTAGTTGCTAAGCAGGCCTGTCTAACTCATGAGAACCTAATGAAAAGAGGATTTCAACTGAGCTCCAGATGCTATCTGTGCTCTACAGATTCAGAAAGCAATAGCCATTTGTTTCTGCACTGTAGAGTTACTTCCCAGTTGTGGCAACTTTTTCTCAGCATGATTGGACTTAGGTGGACTATGCCAAAAACCACAACAGATTTACTGAGATGCTGGAATAATCAGGAGGGCAGTGTAAGGCAAAAAACCTGGTGGAATTTGATCCCAGTGTGCATATGGTGGATAGTTTGGAAGGAAAGGAATGCCAGGTGTTTTGAAGACAGAAGCAGTCCTATTCAGAAGTTAAAGATGAACTGTATCTTGTTGTTTCATTTTTGGTGTAAAGAAAATTATGTGAATGATGAAGAATCGATTTTAGACATCATAGAATCCTTGTAAGAAGAACAAGGATAGGTTTTTGCTTCTTTTGGAATCTGTAAATGGTTACCAGCACAACCTTTGTGCTGGGTTTCTTTTTTTATAATACATAACTGTTACCTTTGTCCAAAAAAATTATGCACTCTGTATTTGCCAGAGAAGGAAGCTTCTCATGAATTACAACGGGAAAAATGCCAGCGGACAACTTTGGCATTGAAAAAATTGGCTTAGGATCTTAAGCGGTAAGCTAAACTTTCAGTTCAGCAGAAAGATTCTTGGCCTAAGCCCATAACCATTTGGCATGGCCTCCTAATCGATGCTTCATATTTAATATCAGTAGAAGAAATGAAAGAACTTCATTTCAGACTAAGGGAAAAAACTAAAGCATGTATACCAGAGTAAATATCTCTGTGGGTGCTGCAGAACACCAAATACCTAGTTTCACCATAAGATGTACATATAGAAGATAATTAGATGTTAACAACCACCCGATCCAGAACTCCCGTCCTTTTGTTTTCTCCCAAAAGATGAGAACACGAGGAGGATAAAGAGAAGACAAAGAGGGGGATGAGGAAATTCAGGAAAACACAGATCATCATTATGTAAAGCACAAAACTGCTGAAGACTCTCGCCTATATCAGTTTTCGAGACAACTAACAAACTTTAAAAATAATAATAAGAAGATGATCAATTAACATGCAAAAATAAGAAGAGTTACAAGAGAAGAGCTATCAGATTCATTATAAATGAATTTTGAGAACAAGTACTAGTTCTCCTCAGAATCACAAGACATCATTAACATAGTTCATGGTCACAGTCATAATTTCTTACTGAATTTTTATTTGTCAAAAGATGAAACAAGAGCATATCTCACAAAAGTATGACCCGAAAGACAGAGCTAAAGGATGTTTATACAGTACATTTGTTATTGTAGTTCTTAAGTATATGACAATGAAAATTCAAAAATCACAAGGTTTAAACACTAGCCAGAAAAGACATTGAAAGCAAAGAACAGACAAATGTGCCGAGAGATTGAAGATGTTACTCACCAGGCCCCAAAACATTTTGATTCTTGATCTCAACAATATACGAAGATAGGAAGTTGACATATAATGTCGTGTTGATTAGTCCATCATTAGGCCTTTGAACTGAGGCTTGGAGTTGACTTATCTCATTAAAAGATGAACCTGGCAGAAACTCATGAAGTAGTGGTTGGATGAGCCTCAGGTCATGCAAATTATGGTACATTCTAGGGAAAAAATTGAACTTCAATATATTTGGTGTCAGCCCTCTAAATGTAACCGGTTTGTTATCAAAATTGCTTCCATTCCTCAGTGTTCCACTAACCAAGCTCAGATGCTTCTTATTTTTAGGATCTTTTGCTGTTAGGTTGAACTGAAAACCAATAGCTGTTGCAGGACTATTTGGGAGATCAACAAATTGCCATGAAATATAGGCACTATCTCGACTAAGCGGACAGTTGCTGCACTTAAGCACGATAGTTGGTCCTTTAGTTGTGTTTATACAGGAATAGTTGGCAAATGTTGACAGAGGAGAAAATCGATAGTCAACGAAGCCCGGGTTCCCAGTTACCACGGTTCCGAGGCCACGCAAGTGTAAGCAACTCATACTTGAGATGGTAGTGATGTTAAACTCCAAATCATTTATAAAAGCAGCTAAATCAGGTGCATTTGTTGCTCTCACATTGTGCATCTCAATAGCTCTCTTCGATATGATTTGGTAGAGCAAACTGTGGAAGCATATAAAAGGGTCTATTATGGATGGAATAGAAGGTAAAGAAGAAACAGAACTGGGGAAGAATATTATTCAGAAAAAGAAAATACAGGATGGATTTTATTTTTATTTTTAGATAAAAAGGGGCCAAATACTTGATAGGAATAGTAAGACACTGGAAATTAAAGAGAAAAAACAAACATCTTGTACTCACGTAGCAAACAGACCAATAAAAAGTATCCAACTAGCCATTGAAAAAGTTCCACCAAGCTCTGTTTTGCGCTTCATGACGACCTGCTGATCATCCTACATGAAAATGGTGCACATAAATTTTTTTTTAAAAAAATCTAATGATTATCAAGATGTGTATTCAAGTATTTACAAACAAATATGTACTTTTCAGGTATCACAAAAACACAGAAAACTGCTAAAACCAAACAAGTCAACGGTCTAACGCAATGACAACATCACAAGTAAGCTCAAGGAGAAGTGATTTATCATACGAGATAATAAGCAAAATAAAGGCCATTCTTCCATCAAGTGACTAAGACGAATGAGCTATGAAGCGCATGTTAAATTTTGAACTGCCTATTGGTACTAACATGTGATATGGTAAGTATACCAAATTTTCCTATAATTGCTCATACTTATCTAGGATTTGAGTACCCTACAAGTGGATACATTCAGGAAAAATTTGATACTTTTGGGGTCAGAATGAGATTTTATAAGATAGCACGGGGTTATTTTAATAATTAATGAAATACAAAATTTTGAACAAAGAAGATTTAGGGGTCGAATTGGACCCAAGAGACTCTTCTCTTTGTTTGTTTTTCCTTCCTTTTTACTTTTGAGATCAGTAAAGTAAATTTTATATCAGTCAGTACCAAGAAGTATGAGCTCCTTTTGTGAGAATCAGTGACACTAAAGACGGGGACAGAAAACTCTTCTTATTTAGCCAGACAAGATGATTATTTTGATAGGAAAAGTTTTGGAGGCTGGAGAACAAGATGTCCTTATATATACATAAATGAGGGGAGAATCTAAATCAGTTCACTGGAACCATGAAATGGTCCTTCCACTATTGACTACTCTAAGCGTCAAATTTAACATGTATTACCCCGCCGGGAAAAGGAAACGATGGTCCCTTTACCTTATCTTTAAAGAAAGAGAAACTGATGGTCTACTAGATCTACACCATTATTACTACAGCAGACTGCATTTCACCAAAAGTAAGGTACCATCTTTGCAGTAACAGATACACCAGTTTGCATAGTATCTTTTTGAAGCATAAGTAAAGCGACTAAAATGGTTTATTGACCTTAACCATCCCCAAGAACTCTATCGCCATCACCCTAGAGAATCAGAAAAATGCCCCTATTTAGTCTATTCCTAATAAACAAAATACTTCTCGTAATCAGTTGAGAAAAATGCTATCTGGTGATGGTGGCAAAGTGGCCTCCAGTCCCTAAGCTCTGTTTCTAGCTATCCTCATAATCTAATTAGCGTATTAGAGGCACTTATTGAGTTCTTTTTATTTTGCACCCCTAATGTATGCACCATCGAAAAATTTGCACCCTATCCTTTTTTTTTATTTTGCCTTATTTTGTGCACCATTTTTTAATTTGTGCACTCCTTTATTTATTATGATTATCCCCCTAATATTTGCATCTTATTTTGCACCCTATCTTTAGCAAAGTTATAAAACATTTCATTTTATGAATAATAAAACTCAAGGGCTCTGTAGCATTGCAACAATATCCACTTATCTATATGTTTTCTCTATACAACATCTCCAACACCTTGTTATAAGGATACATGCATTTCAAAGAATATATAGTGGAAGACTATGCTAAAGAGTTCATTATTAAAGGATTGCTTAAAGAACAAAAAACCAATTATGCCTCAATCCAAGTCTAGATGAGGTCGGTTATATGAATCCTCACTATACATGTCACTCCATTTAAATTTGTCTTAATCCAACATAAAGAAAATGGTTCTCAATCTAAAGAATGCTTAAATGGCAAAACAAAAGTACCTTCGACCAGAAGGACCTTCATCAATTTTGACTTAGGAGTAAACTTTCTGGATGATTTAGGAAACCAAATGTAGTTTTCCAGTGTGAATATGATGGATCGAGAGAGTTGATGAAGTTAGGGAGTTCAATATGAAAAGTAGTGGGAAAAGTAGAGTTGTTGGACATTGATTTTACATTAAGAAGGAATTGTAGAGATGATAGATCCTACTTGAATGCATCCTAGTATATGTTAGTATGAGCTCCTTACTAATAGCAACACAAGATTGGATACTAGGATCCATCCTGAGAACTAGCCGTAGCTTTCAAGGAAAAGATAGAATGAGATGGACGGCAGACCAACGTGACCTTTCTCTGTTAATACCCTTTCTTTACTTTGATAGGTGATAATAGAAAAGAGTATCACAGGAGAATGCCACTGGTATTTATAACCAAGTGGCTTGAAAGAAAGGAAGTAGTTTCTAAAATAATTGCCCAAAAGAAATTTCCACAACTCCGGTTGCAAACCTTGGATATTAACTGGTGGTACTATTTCAGTTCTTGGCGCTAAGAACATCAATTCCATCATTAATCTCAAAAGTGAGGAACACGTCAAGAAAATTATATACAAGATAAGGTCAATTCATTACCCTGAGAAAGCACTGAATTGCATTTGCCTGCTAGTTGCTACATATCAGTTATAAGCCTAAAGTAAAAACGAGGAACAACAACATACCTAGTATAGACCCAGAAGTGGGGTCTGGGGAGGGTAGTGTGTACGCAGACCCTTAACCCTACCTTGTGGAGGTAGAGAGGCTATTTCCCATTAAAGTACAAACGAGGAGTGGCAATAATTTGAATAAACACAGGAATAGAAGAAAGACTCTCCATACTCATCCTTCTACATAATGTTTTGTTTTTTATAAGTTCTTTTTGATAAATAAGAAATGTTTCATTGATGAAAACCAGCATTAGAAAGAATATTCTTTAAAATATAGATTCTTTCCTTCTCCGTCATCTCCGCCTCCCTTTTATCAACTCATGATTGTGTCATACTGCAAAGGCAGCTAACAAGGGATTTCTGATGTTTATTCAGTCTCTTTTTCTCATTTCCTTATTCAAGATTTTGTTATAGGCAGGAAGGCAATCTGATCTTATTTCCCTTTTCTTGCTAAACTCTCACTTAGGAGATGCCTGGAGGCGAAAGGTGTGTTGGTCGCTTACATTAGGGTGATTAAGGACATGTATGATGGAGCTAAGACTCGGGTTAGGACAGTGGAAGGCGACTCGGAGCATTTTCCGGTTGTTATGGGGTTGCACCAAGGCTCTGCGCTCAGCCCGTTTTTATTTGCCCTAGTGATGGACGCACTGACACACCATATTCAAGGGGAGGTGCCATGGTGTATGTTATTCACTGATGACATAGTTCTGATTGATGAGACGTGAGGCGGCGTTAACTAGAGGCTGGAGGTTTGGAGACAGGCCCTTGAGCCTAAAGGTTTCAAGTTGAGCAGGACTAAGACAGAATACCTGGAGTGCAAGTTCAGCGCCGAGTCGAGGGAAGCGGTCATGGACGTGAGGCTTGAATAACAGGTCATCCCCAAGAGAGGCAGTTTCAAGTATCTTGGGTCGGTTATCCAACGGTATGGGGAGATCGATGAAGATATCGCACACCATATAGGGGTGGGGTGGATGAAATGGAGATTAGCATCTGGAGTCCTGTGTGACAAGAAATTGTCACTGATGCTCAAAGGTAAGTTTTATAGAGCGGTAGTTAGACCAGGCAAGTTGTATGGGACAGAGTGTTAGCCGGTTAAAAACTCACATATCCAGAAGATGAAAGTAGCAGAAATGAGGATGTTGAGGTGGATGTGCGGGCACACTAGGATAGATAAGATTAGGAATGAAGATATTCGGGAGAAGGTGGGCGTGGCTCAGAAGGATAACAAAATGCGGGAAGCAAGGCTCAGATGGTTCGGGCACGTGCAAAGGAGAAGCCCGAATGCCCCAGTAAGGAGATGCGAGCTATTGGCTTTGGCGAGTGCGAGAAGAGGTAGAGGGCGGCCCAAGAAGTATTGGGGGAGGTGATCAGGCAGGACTGGCGTGGCTTCAGACTTCCGAGGACATAGCCCTTGATAGGAAGGTTTGGAGGTCGAGCATTATGGTTGTAGGTTAGGAGGTAGTGGAGCATTTTTCTACTTCGTACCGGGTGTGAGGCTAGTCTGATAGGGTTGTGTCTTAAACTGCAAGCAGTTAATCTTGTATCCACACTATTCTTCTGTTTTTCATAGTACCGAGCCTTATCTACGTGTTATTATTATTGCTTTTCATCTATTTTCGGGTCCTTATGATGTTGTTATTATTTCTATGGTTTCTGTTGATGGTACTAATATATTGTTTCTTTGCATCTTCTTGAGCTGCGGGTCTATCAGAAATAGCCTCTCTACTCCATCGGAGTAGGGGTAAGGTCTGTGTACGCTCTACCTCCCCAAACACCACTTATAAGATTTTACTGGAATGTTATTGTTCTTGTTGAACTCTCAGTAAGGGTTGGAAGTGGAAAAAAAGTTACTTAGGCTACAAGTTGCCTAAAAGGAGGATGCGAGTCACAAGTCACAACCAAGAATCATTACTAAAACAATGCCAAGTTAGCATCTATAGCTCTATGCAACATGAAACCTGAAGGTGAGTTCACTCAACCAGCAGTATCAATGTCATTTACGTTTAACGTTCAGTCTTAAATCGAAATAAAGGTCCAAGTTGTCTTTTAAATGTTTGTTTTAAATTGATGCTACCAAGTTAAGTTAAGTGGCATGTTTTATAAGTCCAGGAAGCAAGGTATAGAATAATAATAGGAAGCTTCTTCATATCCACTCAACATACACCCTACCAGACTGCACAATGCTAAAACTTGTTAAATACCCAAAAGATATTTAACTTCTTTCCCAAACTGGCTGTCCAATTTAGCTTCCCAAAAGTCAAACATCCAATATATTTTTTGCAACTTGTAGTACTTAATTCAGTTTGCAAATATCAAAACTTTACTTTCAAAATGAATTGATCGATTCACAACTTAGCTCCGTAGAACAGTCCAAGTAACTGCTGGTACAAATAAATTGGGGCAGAAGGAGTAATTCACTAATTTGCCAGTAGCCTAAATAATGTCTCACAAATCCATTAATCACGAAATAAAAAGGTAGTAGTATTTAAAACGCAAAGTTTAAACACTTAACTACATTAAATATTATCCGACAAATTAAAATAAATGAAGAGAAAGAAATCATACAAGCCAGTGGCGGGAGGCAAAGCAGACATCGAGGCGACTAATCCACCAACGGATCCTGAACCAAATCGAACGGCCATCACCAAGCGGAGCACACCGCGCAAAAAAGCAGAAAAAAAGCCAGGAAAGCAACATGAAAAGTGTAGCTTCGAGAAATACAGCTTGCGATTGATTCAACTTCCTAATTGAATCAAAATCGAAAATGGTTCCACTTCCGGGGAATGATACGGAGTGATAGTCCACACCGGAATCCATCTCCACTTGGCCCCATTCGTTGAACAAGTAACAGCTTCGGCTTGTGATGTTGAACAAATAGCTAGGGTTGCACGCGCATTGTGTGGCGTTGTAGCGAAAGGAGTTGCTGGGACATTGCATTTTTTGAGCATTTAGAACTATGGTTTGATTTTTGTTAAAGAGTTGTTGAAGTGAAGAGGAGGAAGAAGAAGATGGAGCGGAGAAGTAAAGAATATGGAGACAAAAGAGCGTAATGACTGAAAGACCCACAACAATGTGACGAAAAGTCAAAAATAGAAAAAGTGGAAGAAAAGTAAACATGATCTCATACATCCAGGAAAAATTAAAGACGTGGTTTCTGCCTCGCAGCCTATTGGTTGAAATTTTTCTTTTTTTTTTTTCTTAAAAAGCTTTGTCTTTCAAGTTTCAACTTTCCTTTAAAGTTAGGGATTGTTTGGTCGGTGGAATAAAGGATAATAATTTAAGAATAAAATATGATATTATTTTATTTTGTATTTGGTTACGGACATTAATTAATTTCAAGAATTATTTTATATTAAAATGATGGGATATAGAAAGTGGATAACTAATCTCATGGAATATATTGTTTATCACACCCCATTGACCAAACCACAAAGTTATTTGGTACAATGGTGGGGTAAATCCGAATATCTTATAAGGTGGAATATTTAGTATCTCCCAATGGTGGGGTAATACTCATAACTCTTATATAGTCCCTTTAATTTTCAAAATCAAAGTAAGATTCTACCTTTCCCTAGAGGAGGACCCATTACCATTCATCCATAGCCCATTACCTTCCCGAAGGGGCTGTTCTTGCTTACAATACTCCGATATGCGTTTGTTTGCCCATAAAAAATTCAATTGCAATTTGCAAAGTTGTGTTTGGCTAAAGAACTAGCTAAAAGATGAAACATTTCTTTGCAATAAGGATGAAAAAAATTCGACTTCAAAAGTATTTCAATTTTGGCTCAAGCTCTTTTTTCAAGTTCTATATTTTTTCACACAGATATTGAACAAAGAGTTGAGAAGAAAATTTCAAAAAACAACTCCGTAGTTTTCCAAATACTTAAAAAAAAAAAAAAAAAAAAAAAAAGAAAACGTGAGTTTATAGCTAAAGTTGTCTCTATCTATGGGCGTAGATCTATTTGTGTCCTCTAAATATATACATGAGTATTTTTAGTCTCTTAAGTTTATTAAAATTAAGCATATTTGGTCTAACTAACACAATAGGGGTTAAACCTAATGGTGCTTGTGTTAAAAAATTAAAACCCAACAATAAAAAGCTACATCCACTTCTCGCATTTTCCTAATTCCTCAATTATCATTCATGAACACAATTCAACATTGAAACTTCATGATACATAGAGACACTCACGCTTTTCTCTCTATCTTATGGTTTTTCCAATTTAGTCGTCATGTATGAAACTTCAACGATGCATAATGGCAACTTTCTATCTCAAGCGAATATCATTTCGGTACATTCATTATCGGCAGCTTCATAGACTTCTAATTTATTTGTATTAAGATATATGAGTTTCAATATGAAGGTACAAGGGGGTGAATTGTAGTCCTTTTTAAAATATTTTTAATCAACGGCTTTACCAAAATAGTTTAGGGGTAAGTTTGGATCCTTCTTTAGCTACGTGACTCCATTGTAGCAAATGCTAGAGTGAAGTTGGGCAGCCATTAAAGAAAGTGGTATATTTGAAACAAGGATAACAGTAGAAATTTTCACGGACAGATAGGTAATTGGAAGACAAATTTAAATAAATCAACTATTTTAGTGGTAACTTAAAACTTTTTTCCATTTTTAGGTGAACCAAATCTTGTACTTCATTGTCTTTTCATGAATTTAATTTTATTATGGCGCAATTCAAGACTATATTTACCTAGGTACTTAGGGAAATTATTCATATTTATCCTCCGTTTAAGTTTTTGAATTTATCCTTAACATTAGCCTTTGAATCACATATACCCCTCCCCTAAAGGAGCAAAGATCCCATGCAAATTACATGGGAAAATTTTATCGTGATCGTCCAAGTGAAGGTTTATTTTACCAAAACCACTATTTTAACTTGTGTCACTTTAAAACCACCCAACTAGACCTGATTAACTCAGAAATAATTAGGCCAAAATTTATATATTCTGCATTGGCCCCAAATGTACCTACAGTTCAAGGCCACATTCACCAATTACTTTGGGAAATTATTCATATTTATCCTCCGTCTAAATTTTTGAATAAATATGTAACATTAACCTTTGGATCGTATATACCTCTCCCCCAAATGGCAAAGTATATGAGCAAATTTTGATCATCCAAGTGAAGGTTCATTTTACCAAAATCACTATTTTAACTTTTTTTCCTTAAAAATCTATCACAACTCAAAATCTGCCTAGTTGAGATGGCACATAACCCTAATGCTAGACAAGCCAACATAGAACAAAGTAACTCAAATGATAAATGATTAATAGCAAGAAATTAAATGACTAAATTCTACATAACCTCCCAAGGACTGGTAGTACAAGTCATGAGTCACTATGATTAGATTTACAAAACTGTATTGAAGAAATAGTACAATGTATGTTTGAAGTTTACATAAACAGAGTTTAAGTCCTAAACTACCATAAACAAGGGGTAGCCTGAATCTGGAATGCTGGAACGACTTCAGGGCAAGGCTTTGTCCTCCACATCTACGCGGCTCTAAGATCTGCACACAAGGTGCAGAAGTGTAGCATGAGTACAATCGACCACATGTACTCAGTAAATATCTTAACTAATACATACTTGTATTTGTACCCGTACAAATGATAAGCGGAAAGAGCATATACGAGAATAGATACACACATAACCACGTAATGAATAAAACAAGAGTACAAATGACAGAGGGCCCCATAATATCAAAATCTCATATCACAACACCTAGGATAAACGCTAAAACTACAAACGACTACAACACATTAATTTTCGTCGCGGCATCCAACCCGATCCCAACAATTAACATAATACCATGATCTGATTTCCATTGTCATACCCCATCATCATCTGTTCATATCATATCCGTCCTTATCTCTTCATATCATATCATTTCATGTTCCGTTGCAGCGTGCAATCCGACCCACAATATCAATTCATTTTAATACCGTTGCGGCATGCAATCCGATCCATAATTTTAATTCATTTCAATATCATTGCGTCGTGCAACCCGATCCACAATATCAACAATATCATATGAAACCATAATAATAACCAAACGCAGGAAAAGTTCATAACGTAACACTAAGAAACGAACACGCAGTACCGAGCTAGGTAATACAACTCAACAGAGTAAAATGAGCAGTCCAATATTAAAACTAGTCTACCATATATAATAACAAGGCTCACACAAGGTATATCACATAACTAATCTACAAGTGACCCAATCCGGTTAAGCAAAGGAGAGTAGTATATAAAACTAGCAAAGATGTTTAGCAAGTAAGAACAAGGATCAAAGGAAGGTTTTCAACATGAAATCGTGTAGCAAATAGAATCACGTAGCAAATAGAGGCATTCAACCAGTGGAGGCATACTGTAAGTTGAGCATAGAGTGAGTGGAGACATATAGCAGGTAAAAATATGTAGTGAGTGAAAACATGTAGCAAGTTAAGGCATTTAACAAGTAAAAGCATATGGAAAGTAGAAGCATATGGTAAGTGAAGACATATAGTAAGTTGAGGCATGTAGCAGGTTAAGACATCTAACAAGTAAATCACGTGACAATTAGAGCATGTAGCATTTATGGCTAATAACAAGTAAAGACATGAATTCGAAGAGGACACGTAATATAAGTAAACCAAGTGAAAGTGAGGCATAGCTAAAACAGTACGGGCCAAAGGAAAAATACAAAGATAACTACATAAGGAACCCAAACGGAAGGTATCATGCCAAACAACAAACACTAATGAAAACCATACTACAGGGCATGTAAGTGCTTAATGAACGAGTATCATAATAGAAATCCATATTCCTTTCTTTTCTGCATGCTAATATCCAACAAAAAAATCTCATTTCACAATGCACGGAAATACTCATCGTGACAACATTTTAACAACCGCACGAAAATACTTATCGTGCCAAACATAACCCTAAGGCTCCAATCATCATCTCTTAATACAAACAAATAAGTTCGTAACGTGACAATAAAAAATGTTAATATGGATTCCCGATACTATGATCAAGTTAAGTATGCAAACAATTCTAGAAAACGGCACATCAAATTCTTTTTAAGATGTGATATGTTCTAACATGATTTCTAACACACTTATATTAGTATATTATTCATAGAGTTTAATGGAGCATAGGTTAAGGGATCATGAAGTTTTAAAAAGGCACAAATAAGCACATAATGTCCCCCTCCCGAGCATGGAAACCCTGGCACATGCATATACGCTCGTCACCTCGTATATGCATCACCCTCGCATGTGGAAAACAATATCAATTAGTAGAAAAAATTTCGCAACAAAGCTAGGCAATACACTTACCTCAAATAGGCCAAATCAACACTCAAAAATAGTTTTTCTTTAAAATTCACCTCCGCTCGGCTCAAATCTAACCAAACCAACTTAATAACATCTAACAATGCAAGAGAAACCAATTCCAATAACTAAAGTTAAGATCTTTACACAATTCTCCAAAAGTTAACTCCGGGTCTGCCCGGTCAAAACCCGGGTCCAAAGGTAGATCTTGACTAACCAAATTTCACAAGTCCATATATATTTTTTGTTTTCAAATCCGAGTCCAATTCGACTCTTAAATCTCAAGTTTTTATTTTTCAAAACATAGACAAAAAGCAACTAAATTTTCTTTCAAATCTCATGATTTTGATGTTAGATCTCATAAACAATCATGTAATATAATTGAAAATCAATCAAAATGACTGTCCCAATAGTTAGATGTGAAAATTCCTCCTAAAAATTGCCTCATATCGAGTCCAGGGTTCAAAGATATGAAAATGACACCAAAATACCGTCTTCCAACCCTTTTGTTCAGGTACAGATGTTGCAAGTGCAGCACAGCATTCGCACCCTCGCAAATGCGGACAAACCATCGTAAATGCGGCTCCTGATGACCCCAGGGAATGTTGCAAATGCCACCCTGACTTCGCATTTGCAAAGTCAGGCCCTTCGCAAAAGTGATCATGTGATCGCAAATGTTATCCAGCTTAGCCTAGGCACCCCATTGCAAAAGCAAACAATGTGTTCCCAAATGCAAACCTGACAGACCCTAGTGAACCTCGCAAATGCGACCCCTATC